TGGAAGATTTGATGGATGAATGGGTTTCCCTCTCCGAAGTGTCGCGTGAGCAACTTCTCTACATGGAGACGCAGCTGAACCATTTGGAGGGAACTGTTGATGTCTTAAGTCGTGCATCGGTGAAGAACTGCAAAACTGATTTTTAGGCACGGATGCATACCCTCCCATTTGTGGATAGCTTACGTTTGGTAACCTAAAACTATTGCTTCTATTCCCCAACTTGCTTGGCAACATAATGTTGTCTAAGCTTAATGTTGGACTTGGTGATTTTCTATGATCTAAAGGTCCTTTAAAATTCAAATTTGCTAAATTAGATTCCGCCGATATTTTCTTCCGATTTTTTCTTTCTATATCAAATACCGAACTTGGAGCGAGTGTTGGATCTATATGGTAATGAGAATGTTTTCCTGATATGGTTTCAAAATGTTTTTCATTGAACCTTGGATGTTTTCCTCTAGATCTGCTTTTGTCTCGTTGATAGTATACTCCAGCAAATATTAATACATTCAAAATGAGTAACGAGCAACCTATTGCTATGGTAACGCTGAGGGCAGTTGAGTATGCAGCATAGCTATGGTAACGCTGAGGGCAGTTGAGTATGCAGCATATCCCGCTGCTTCTAGATCAGCTAACGTACTATCTGTTGCATTCAACACATGAACATCTCGTGAATTGGGTAATATAGTTACACAGGTGGCCAAAATTGTATCAACAGTAGTTAAGGCGGTATCAGTATACAAGGAGCCGTTGACCCGTCGTATCTGTTCAGCATCAGGATTACGAGCTAAGGGATCTGGTCTTACAATGCCTTCACATAAATCTTGTTCGTTGTGATTGCGAAATAAATTGTGACGGGCGGCAACGTCTTCCATTCCAGCTCTGTGTAGCTCGGGAACGAGGCGCAGCCACACTGACAACTGATGCGCACGAAAGTGATTTTAAGTCTCGGCTTCACACCTGTTTAAGAAAAATATATAAATGTATTTAAATTAGAAACGGGTTTTTTATATAGCGAAAGCATTTACTGATATTAATTTAATTTTTGGTAGTAATTAAAAAAGTTTATTATTAAAACTCAAACTCAATCAAGAAATGATTTAATGTACGTGAGGGTAATATGGTCACCTTAAACTTTGCCGCCCTATTAAACCAAAACTAGGAGGAGGATAGGGCCAAAACACAAAGTCGTATACTGTAACTAATATATATAAAAAATAACAATTTAGTTTTGGCAATAATTGGGAAATAGAAAAGACAACTTAAAAAAAAAACGGTGAATGACAATATTTACTATAATGTCAAATGGTGTCAATAATGCATCACCCTTTTGACCTTTTATTTTTTTAATGACTGATAAAGAGCTATGGTATCACAGAGTCATTTATGCAAGCAGGCTGTAGCTTTTGAGTTATAAGAAGTTACTATACTACCCAGAAGACCATATTACCCTCAATTACACTATTTTTATTTAAAAAAAGTCATCCTAATATTTTCATTCGCAGGGTATGCATTCATAAATTAAACGTGGACAAACATTCAGACCGAGGATAATTATTTGTAGGCCATAAAAACATTTGTTATATGCACTGCCAAATTCCTGGGGCATGTATCGCCGCAGCCACAACTGTCAAATTAATTTATTTCGTCTCCAGTTTTTTAGTAAAAAATGTGGCGTAGGTTAATGACAATGATGATGACAGTAATTATGATAAAAATTTATATGTAATGAACACATTACCCCCTAACTAGAAACTTCCCCTGTATCGTGTAGGAGTTTAACATATATACATCACTTTACTCAGTTAGTGGTTTACTAAGTGTTAGAAAGTTATACATTTTAAATTTGTTGTTAACAAAACATAAAACAACTTTCTACGACTGCAAAAGTAGTAATAGACGAGGAAAAGCTTTTGAATTAACCCTAGTCAAGACAAATTTTGCTAGTCACCAATTTAAAAGACAGGCTGGTTATTTATACAATGTAGTCAACAAAAAACTAAACATTTATTCACTGAACTCTAATGAGTTCAAAAAGACAGTTACAGAATGGCTACTGAAACTTAAGTATGATGAAGTCGAGGCATTACTAAAAAATATTAAATAAATTTTACATACGCAGTCAAACACGCACATGTGTACATATACACACGCAAACACACACACACACACACACTCACACAGAATCGCGCGAGTGAGCGCACGCACCCATTAACTCACACTCACATAAACTCGCACACTTATATAAAACACTCATTATATAAATATAAGCTTAGTTTCTTGTATTTCTTTAATTAATCTATTTTGTGTTTATTTAATTTTTGCTATAGAAGAGCGGGGCATCCTGCCACAAGTATATATTTACTTAAAAGGATGTTCCACTTACTCCCATACCTATATAATGTATGATCTTTTTAAATAAATAAACAATTTTTCATTCATTTTCATTTTCATTTTCATCAACAAAGATTCAGATTCAGAAAAACTACTTTTACGCCATATAAATATTGTAGTTGTTTCACGTGGTATTGGAACCCGCGGCCCGCATCTTAGCTGTCAAACGTTTATTAGTCATCATATTTATTTACTGTGTAATTACGAGTATTATAAATGGACTTGGTATGATTGGTGCAAGTTGTCACATTGAGATGTGAAATAAGCTAAACCATAGCTCAGATGCTTAGCGCTCGCTGTAAGCTTCACAGTACTCGATCAATCCGGGTTCGATCCCCGCCGGCACCAATGAAATTGTTAATTGAAATTTTAAGTGCTGATTAATCACGTGCTCGGCGATGAAGGAAAACATCGTGAGGAAACCTGCATGTCTGAGAAATAAGAAAAAAAATATTTCGAAGACATGTGAAGTTCGCCAACACGCATTGAGGCAGCGCGGCGGACATTTCCTTGCCCTAAAACCTTCTCAGAAATGAGAGGAGATCTGTGCCCAGCAGTGGCATGTAAATGTAAATAGGCTGCAACTTTAAACCACAACAGACAGAAATTTAAGCAAATATATTTTGTTAAAAAAATAAACTTCAGCCTGTATAAGTATTATTGTTACTTAAACGCTGAAATCGAATTGGGCACCATATTTTAAGTTATACTCGTATAACAGACGTAATTCAATTTTATTGATTTAAGTGGACAGCCAACCAACGTGTTTCAGTTTGTGTATGTTCAGCCTGTACAGTTACTTTCATTATACATGATTTTTTATGTTATAAATACTAACTTATTTCTAGATATTTTTGGTGTGTCGAATCATACTCTTCCCAACTTATACCACGAAATTTATTTCTTTCTCTTGATGCAGGCAACAAAGCTTCCTGACGACTTATATCATTTGGGTTTCTGAAAGAAAAAAGCTTAAGGTAATAATACAACAGTTATAAGTTTAAAAAGAAAAATATCGTGAGAATTACTTTTAAGCGTTACCGCCCGCGCTGCATTTTCTCCGGGTAATTAAATTATATTTTATTTTTTATACATGAACAGAATCATATCACGATTCCATAAAGATCCCTAATGAATCCAATAGAGATTTATTTTACAGATTGTATATTATTACCGTTACAGCCTATTAAATTCCACTGCTGAATATAGGCCTCCCCGGTAGATTGCTCCATAGGAGGATATTTGCCAGAGTTACCAATTTGGCAAGCGGGTTGGCAACCACAGTTTATTTTTTATTTTTTATTTTTATTCGTTATCAGGAAGACGCTGCTGGCCATCTCCTTATGTTTACCTCTGTCACCTCTTACGACACCAACAGGACGTAGTGGATATTCTTACAACGTCACTATACGGAACCCCATATTTAACCACTACTTCTAATATCAGTTACTCATTTAAAAATGAAAACAACTCTATTCTGTAAAAAGTAAGATGTTAACAATTGAATCTGAAAAATGGGACCTTCTCTTTTCTTATGAGAGAATGACCATTATCTCGAACAATTATGACCTCCAGATCGAATTTCGGTCATATATGTAGAGGTCAATCTCAACGGAGATGAGCCATCTACGAAGGACAGGATTATAGTGCCCAAGTGTATACGCAAGCACATGTGCACTCTGTATTACCTCACCTTTAGTTCGATGGGACTGGAGTGGCATAAAGCGTAGGACCAACAGATTTACGTGCTTCCTAAGGCACGGGGGTGAAAATATGCCAACATCCTAATTCCGGGCTGTTACTGATAATTTCTTGATAGAAAGACCCAATAATAGATTTAAGATAGATATTCGAACCCGGAACCTCTTGTTCAGCAATCGCGTTAACGACTACTAGAGCAACGGGGCAGTATCTCGAAATCTCGAATAAATCACTCTAGTAATTTGCAAGTTTATATTAAAAATCAGAAAAGGCTGATATCTTCAAATTTGTTGGATTTACTCATACAAATGAGACGTGATAGGGTCAAATATGTGAAAATCAGTGCGAGAGAAATCTTTCTGAAGTTTTGTAATAAGCATTTTAAGACGGACTTTGTCCGTAACGCAAACGTTTTCGATATTAATTCCTCAGTATGGGCTATGTAATGAACTATTTTTATTATTTTAAATTTAATTACACAGCTAAAAAGTGGAATAAGAAAACAACGTGCATTGAACAAGGGCTGTGGTGATCCTAGGGAGAAACTAGATCAATCATAGAATTTTTGTGTTTTTATCTGTTCTTAATACGTCTGCAAAATTTCAGAATATATAGACGACAGTAAGTGGATGAAAATTAAATTACGAATCATTACATTCAGAAATACATAAATTGTAAAGGTCAAGCATTGGCTTTAGCGTTTTATAGCGGAGGGGTTCTCTGCGTGATGGACTTAAAATGAGGATATTTGCAGAAGAACCAGAGTAAGTTTAGCAGTGGACTTGTGAAGATCTGTTATAAATGAATGAATGAATTTTGTTAAAAGCGTGTTAAAATTAAGAGCCATCTGCAAGCAACTGAAAAGAAATGCAAAAAAAAATATGCAAAAATAATACATTAAATAACACTTACCCTGTTTTGACAAAGTTTGCGATATAAAACAGTATAGACTCAGACAAAGCAACTTCGGACTTAGTGTAGTTCTGGGGGAAGTGTCCGAAACCATCGACTAATGGCGCTCCGAAAATATACGGAAGTTCCTCGCCATGCACCGCACCCGTTCTCTATAAGACAATTATATTAAAATAATGTCAAATGTAAATAGATATCACTGGTGTTTTTTTTTACAAAATGTAAGTGTCAAACAATCGTGAAGTCCACTTGAGGGTATGTGACTACTGTAATTCATGAACACATGCAAATAACTTCGACAAAAGAAGGCTACAATAGTGTACTTATTGCCGCTTGGAGGCAAAAATAGGTAAGAAAGTGGTATCTACACAGACGGACTCCTTCCTAGGCATAAAACAAATCCTACCACTTACACATTATTAATGAGAATCAGTTTAAAGACGTTACAACATTGTCAGTGACGTTAAACAATGGACAATTATTTTCAGGCCATAGACAATTGTTTCCATGGCTCACAAATGATTGTTCTATTTTAATTTCCCTTGTTATATTTTTCGTGCAATATTTTTTATAGTTGGATTGTTTTAAAAGATATCAGATTTCACTGTCATTAGATCTCGATGAAATTCATACTGTTGTGAAACTATATTATATCGGTGAACAAAAGTGAACCAAATCTGATAACAACCCCCGGAGCAAATGTTTCACATAAATTGCAAAGTACAGTTTATTTGGCTAATTTATTTTTTCTGGCTCAAAAATTTAATAGAGACATGACATACTCTATTACATTTTACATAATTTATTGGAACCTTTTCAACATAAAATTTTTTTTATTATTTTCTTAAACCCCTCCTAATTAAAACAGGATAATATTTTTTAACTCATAACTTTCTGATACATTTATATTGTTTCTTTATTATTAGAAATTAAACCGCACAGTTCTTGCGACAAGGGGTGCAATAGAATGTCAAAATGAATGGATATGTCGTTAAAAGCATCAAGTCTAACCTGAAATAAAATTGGAATTTACCAGACCAAAATTGGATCTTCCTGGAGTCATGAATTTCCTATGAATTTTAAACGGAGCTTAATTTTGATTAGATTCTATTGACCACAAATTTTCTAAACCAGAGGTGTTGTGGTCATAGATAACAAACAAAAGATTTACCTGAACTGTAAACGTATCGATCATGTCCAATAATAGTGATTATAACACCCGGATACTTTGCCATGATAGAACTTACAAAAAGATTAAAGTTATAGCCTATGTTCGTTTTACTGCTCGGCACAAGTACACCTCCTCTCATTTCACACTTACTATAAGTGAGTCGCATGCTCGTTTGTCTCTGCCTTTTATATTAAAAAAAAAACTATAATCGCATATACCTGCGGGTAAAAACCGTCTTTTGTCTGATAATCGAAAACAAAAAAAAAGTTTTCGTTGCTCGTCCTGGCCCGTCTTCTTCGCTTAAAGTTGGTTTCGGCCCTCCGCTCAACAAATCACCGCTTTGTATCAATGGCGCCACGTATTGTGCGTCAGACAACGCCGCAATAGTAGCATCTCTCGTGTTTATCGGGTTCTGTAACAATAGAGTATAGATATATATATATATATATATATATATATATATATATATATATATATATATATATATATATATATATATATATATATATATATGATAATAGAGAGTTCGTTTCATACTGGTTCAATAGGGTGATTTTGCGAATACAAACAGTTCGTTTCACGTTTTATTTGATCGAGTTGAGATGTTTTGAAAATCTATTTAAATCTCAATCCTCCAGACTTTTATTATTTAGTTGTTTAAAAATGTTTATTTTGTTTTTTCAATATACTTAATACTTATTTAAATCTTCTATTAACTGCATAATTAAAGCGAAGCCTTTATCGAAATATACCAGCAAAAATTTCACGAGGCATTGTTAAATTAGCTGTTTTGTAGTAATAGATAAGCATTTATTAATATTATATTGGTTGCTTTTTAGCTGACTTCAAATCTTAAATCAAGTGTTTGTTCTTTTTTATAGTTACTTTATCATTGAATAGGTTATATTTCAGTGGTAATTCCATGTAAATTTGGAAAAAATCTACCCATATGGTGACGTTCGAGATTTTGGTGTTTCTAAGACTATTAAAAGAGGTTAAGAAATAAAACTTTTAATAAAAATTAAAGGCTTACTTCTAAGGAATTAAAAAAATAAAATAATGACTAAATGATTTTATATCATACTAAATTGTGCAGACTGATCACTAGTTCCGAAAGAATTTTATTTCCACTAACAGTGGTAGAGCCACGCGGCAGCTTTTGCTGCCGCACGGATGGGCCGGCTCGAACCGGAGTACCACGACCTCACAGAAAACCAGCGTGAAGTAGAGGTTTACCTCTGCGTTTCGCTTGGTGAGTGCAGATGGCCGGAGGCCCTTTTTAATGGAAATGAGGCATTCCATCTTAGTCCTCACGGGTGACAACGCATCTACATTTTGAGTTGTAAAAGAGGATAGATGTAGATGTCTATGGGCCGCAGTAACCACTTACCATCAGGTGGACTGTGTGCTCGTTTGTCACCCTTATCCTATATAAAAAAAATCTCTCTAGTAGTAAGCAATTTTATAATAAGCAACTTCAGTGTGTCAGTGTCAGCAATTTTGTTTTTAATTCTTCTTCAATTAATAACATTTAAGTATCTTAAGCAGTTATCCTTAAAGTAGGGTTTGTAATTTGTAATGATACATAAAGAAAGCGAGTTTTATTTTCATAAAATTATCTTTCCTTAAATTGCTTTAAAATATTACCGTTCTTTCCCAGTCGGTGTATTCGTTTACGATCGTATAGAAAATTTCACTTAAATGGTACGTGTAAGAGTTCCGCACGTAAGTTCTGAAAGGCAAAAATATTGTGTTATTTATAATCATCTGCTCTTTATATGAACAAAGAATTTATAAAAATTTACTATTTAAATATTTTCTTCTTAAGTGCGTAAATATCCACTCATGGACATAGGCCTTTTCTGTCATAGGAAGGATTTTCTAATCATCACGACTAGCAGTCAGATTGACGATCGCAATACTACCAGACGTCTGGAAACATTGACGCTGGTCCCACTAACATATTATATATATATAAATAAATGTTGTGTTATGTTAAATATAAAACAAAATAAATATTACAAAGTAATAATTTAATAATACTTTTGCGTACAAAACATGTTCATTTTTCAACAGTTCACTTGATCGTTAGTGTTCTTAGCTATGACTCAAGAAAATCTGTTCTGCCGTTTGAAAATCATCGGCAATTTATGTTTGGGGATTTTTAATTTTCTTTTATTTATGTTATCATATGCTACAAATGTCGAAGTCTTTTCAAATCGCGACACAAACAAATGAAACTGAATAGACATACCGTAACATCCGATCTCTTTTATCCGGTTCGATTCCATTTTGAATATCGTGCGCTGAAAATTTCCACAACGCTTCACATGTAACGACCCCAAACATCAAATCGTATTTGTTCTGAAATAACCTTCTGCCACTATCGCTTCTCTTTGTATGAAAGTTTTGATTCATAATATTCAGTGGTCCAAAACTAGGAAAATCACCAGTCGAATACAGCGTTAAGAAGTCTTTTCCAAAATCTGTTTTTATAACTACTCCATCTATTGACGGCCCAAAATCAGTAAGAAAGTTAGGTGGTGATATGTCTATTGATAATAGTTCCTCTATTGATACTTCTCTCAAGCAATCCACTATAACTTCATGGTCTTTAGTCATGTCTTCAGGTATCGTACAATTCATATGCTTAGCTAGTTTTAACGAGTAATATACTGGGTCGTCCACAATAGCCCAAGAACTCAAAGCTGATCCTGATAAAAGAATAGCTCTATGGAATAGACCTAAAAATTTAAAAACAAAATGTAGAAACAATTTTATCTTATCTTAAATTATAAAATCACATAAACATAGAAAGTTCACCAATTCGTATTGGAAAAACGGTGTGAGGATATTATGATCTAATCCTCTTCGAAATTAAAAATAGTTGTGAAATAGGGGGTTATAAAAATATGGTTATTGGTGTAAATTTTTGAGCGGCGGTTGATAAATGCGCTCAATGTTAATTTTACAGTACTCGAACAAGCCAGGTTCAATCAATAAAAGTTTTAATTTAATTCAAATTTTAAGTGCTAATTTACCATGTGCTCTGCTAAAAACATGGTGAAAAAACCTTCATTTCGAAGGAATGTGAAACCCGAGAACACAAGTTAGGGCAAAAAGTGGCATTCCCTTGATCTAAAATCCCCTCAAAAATTATTAAAATTGAAAATTTTAGCATTTATTTATTTTGAAGATTAAAGTTTAAACAGTATTGATTTGATAAATACATTGTCTTTGTTATAATGTTGCAAAAACTGTGTGACAATTATTTAAAGTAACTCTTTGCGTAATTTAAGAATATTTTAAAATTTCCAATCGTGCTGACTTACAGGAAAATTGAATTCGCTCCTTCCTTTAGTCAACAAAAGCGATTAATGTGATTAATATTAAAACTATGGATATTTCTAATTACTAAACGTACCTGGCATAACTGTAGGAGATATCATTAGAAAATTTATACAGGCCGCACCGGACCCGTGACCCATTAGTGTTATATTTGTTGGATCGCCTCCAAAAAGTGCGATGTTTTGTTGGACCCAATGCAGTGCCGCTATCTGATCCATCAGTCCGTAATTTGCCACCCGAGCTTTGAGATGCGGAGCCGGGTTGGCGTTTAGAAATCCTAAAATTGTTACATATAAAGCCTTTTCTACATTATAGATCGTTGGTGAAATAGTTTTGTCTTCCTTTAACTTTATATTAATTTAACTGTCTATTCTTCTTCTATTTTAATTTTTTCTAATTAAAGTTCTAATAATTTGGATGAATTTCTGTATTTAGATAATACTTTCATTTCTATGTTTATCTAGATGCGTGTCATCTCAAGAAAACTGTGATATTTCTTAACGCCGAACGAAGCTCGGTTGCCCAAGTACTGTACGAAATACGAATCTTCATAAACTATATTTTAAACCAGCGATCCCCCCGACTTCACACGGGTGATTCCTGGATCTCGACAACCGCTCCAACTTTCAAATGTAAATCTATGCCATCTAGGGACACATTTACATAATATGTCAAAAATTATTCTAAAATGTTTAAAAGAGTTTGCTACACAGCTAACGATTTACATATTAGCAACAAAATTAAGACGGCTAAGAATGAAATTAAAATGACATGGAGTGTAATTAACAGCAAAACCGGTAAAAACAAACCTCGTAACACAAACTATCAACTGAAAATTAAGAACAAATTGACTAAAACAAATCAAGAATTCACAGAGGTGTTTGAGAAATATTTCACTGATATTCCTAACTTATCCAGTCCCTTTTGCGGTGCCAAATGGACTGTCGGTATATTCAATTGCTGAAGTGTTTTTACAGCAGGGCAACGATGACTATCTGAGTACAGAACCATAGTACGAAACCTATCCAACTACCGACAGGTGTAAGACAGGGTGACGTTATATCCCCGAAACTCTTCACCGCTGCGTTGGAAGACGTTTTCAAGCTACTGGACTGAAAAGGATACGCTATTAACATCAATGGAGAGTACATCACTCACCTTCGATTTGCCGACAATATAGTCCTTCTGGTAAAATCGCTGAAGGACCTAAGCACTATGCTCAATGACCTCAATAGTTTCTCCCAACGGATAGGTCTTAAGATAAACATGGACAAAACAAAAGTCATGTTTAACGTCCAGGTCACACCTATGCCGGTAGTAGATGGGAGCACTAAGCTCGAAGTTGTTGACGAATATCTTTACCTGGGACAAATAGTCCGACTAGGTATGTCCAACTTCGATGAAGAGGTCATTCGACGGATTCAACTCGGCTGGGAAGCGTTCGGGAAATTACGGCACATCTTCTCGTCGGGTATACCTCAAAACTTGTAAACGAGACTGTATAGCCAGTGCGTGTTGCCAGTGATAACCTATGGAACTGAGACGTGGTCCTTTATTGCTGGCCGGATGAGGAATCTCAAGGTCGCTCAGCGAGCTATGGATAGGGCTATGCTCGGGGTTTCTCTACATGATAGAGTGTAAAACGAGGATATCCGCACTTGAAACAGAGTAATCGACATAGCCCAACAGATTAGTAAGCTGAAGTGGCAATGGGCAGACCATATATCTCGAAGAACCGACAACTGATGTGGAAGAAAGGTTCTTGAGTAGTAGCCTCGTACCGGTAGGCGAAGTGTAGGGTAGAGCCCACGAGCTTTAGTGATGGCCTGGTAAGACATGCAGGAAGTCAATGGATGCAGGTGGCTCGAGACCGTGCTTTGTGGCATTCCTTGGGGGAGGAATGATTTGCTCTTAAACGGCAAAAAGACAAAATGTATTCAATTTAAAATACCTAATGTCCAACATTTGAATACCAATGTGCTCTTTAATACGGAAGAATTGAGTCTTGTGGATACCACTGTTTTCTTTGGTAATACTATTGACGCAATTATTGCAACTGACATTGAATCCATATCTATTTTGCAAAAGCCAGCCGTACGAACGATTTAAAGAAATAAACATATTAACTAAATTTAAATTTTTTTTACAAATTTAAAAAAGTTTTTGCAGTCAAATTGTTGCTTGACTATGTTGTCTCACAATGTTAATAATATGGTTTGTTAATGTAGATTTATTGGCACTATTTGGTCTTTTTTGTCACATGATAAAGAATGTTCATACTTTAAACACTAGGAAAAAAAACATAAGCTTGTAATGCCAGTTACTAGACTCCACATAATAAGTAATTCGTTTATGGGACGATGTACACGCTTTTACAACAAAATCCCAGAAAATGTACAAAGTTTGTCTATAAACAATTTTAAATGTTTTATTAAAGAAATATTGTACAAAAAGTTTTATTATAATATCAAGGATTACACAAATGAAAATCATCATCATCATCATTACAGCCCATCACAAGTCGACTGCTGTACATAGGCCTTCACCTAGGAATGCCACAAAGCAGGGTCCTGAGCCACCTGCATCCATCGACATCCTGCATGTCTTACCAGGTCGTCACTCCATCTAGTGGGGGGAACGCCCTACATTTTGTCCGCCGGTACGTAGCCGCTACTTGAGAACCTTAAAAATTGTACAAAAAAATTATTGTGAAAGAAAATATGTTCAAAAAAGTCTCGCTGAATTTCTTGCTGGTTCTTGCCAGGGCAGTGGTGTTTTAAGTTGGTGGGTAAATAAAAAATGACTTTCAATAAGCATCATGTAATAATCAATATGGAATATAAAATGAAAGCTCATAATAATATATTAAAAATAAATATATTTTTATACAATATTAAAAAAAATATAAACATAATTATCATATAGTCCTACTCCTCGCGGTATCGTAGCAAGATATATATACCAATATAAAATCATTAAATTATCTTCCATTCTATTCTATTGCAATTTATTCTATTCTATTCTATTCCATTTAAACACAAAAAAATCTTTTCAAAATCGTTAAAGGCTTTTCTGAGTTTTGGCGAGACTAACGGACAGAAATATATAAATATTTATAAGAATATACTTATCTTAAAGTTACTATTAATAATCATATTTTACTAAAAGTTACTTTACCTAAAACACCAAGTCTGAAGTTTAATGTGACTACAATCAAATCGGTGTAGCTAGCCAAGACTGCGCCATCATACGGATTACCCGAACTCCATGAGTAGCTTTCACCGTGTATATACACTAATACAGGCAGCGTCAACTTAGATTCATCCACTACATGAAAAATATAATAATGATTAAAAGTACATACGTATATTACAATATATTTTTGGTTATTTTGACATATTTATCTGAGAATTGTGAGTATGGTTTATAAAGCTAAAGGGTTAATTTTCGCAATGCAATCTGACAACTGTTTGTAGTGCACATAATAACACCAAGATACAAGCGTTAAAAATCACAACAACAGCCATAATAACGCTACTGATGTATTCCAAGCAAGTAATGTAATTATGGCGATGTTTTTCGTAACAAAGTTACTTCCCTTATGATATATTGCATATTTTATTCGCTATTTCTCCCTTTTCTAAAAAATGATACTTCAAAAATAAATGTAAGAAGAAAACTTTTTTTAATTTAGTAATTAAAATTAGTTTTCGAGGTACTCATTATGTAAAATTTTACTTGAATACGAGAATAATAAAATTTAGTCCAATCATTTTATGTTCATTCAAAGATATAATCATAGGTTCTTTAAGAATAAGAGTGACAAACGAGCACACAGTCCACCTAATAGTAAGGGGATGCTGTGGTCCATAGACATCTGCATTTATCCTCGATTAAGAATCAAAATGACTTAAAAGTCTTGCTCTAAAAACCTTCCAGAAATGAGGCCAGCTGTGGGACGTGTATATTCTGTTACTTCAATAATCAAAATGCAGATGCTTTGTTACCCGTGAGGATTAAGATGGATTGCATCGTTTCCAATAAAATGGGTCTCCAGTTTTATACACTCGCCATACGAAACACAGCAGTATTGAGCTACCATTTTGCGCTGGTATTCTGTGAGAGCGTGGTTTTTCCTCGATCAAAGCGACCCACTCGAGCTATAAACATAATAAAGCTGCAGCTCTATGGCTGCTTTGCATGGTTCTAACACATAAAATTTTGTTGTATTGAAAACATATAAATCATCTCTTATAAAATTTTATAATATCTATTAACTAGAATATTTTCCCCAGTACATCAAAATCTTTTCCCTCATTTTTATCACTACGGCTAAGTATGCTTATTTTGTTGTAAGGATCCATCTACATAGAGTGATGAATTTTGTACGCCGCCACAACAAAGAAAAGGAAATAATAATGTAGTAGATATAAAAATATTGTTAAATTCGATACTTACTTTGCAAAGGAGCAAATATATTTAAATAAAGACAATCTTCACTTTGATTCTTAAGGTAAGGCATCAGTCTTTTTAAATATTCTAATCTGCCTTTAGGCATTTTTTCTAATATGGTCCTCTCATTGTCGAGATCTGGTAATTTCTGTGGGCATGCAGGACCTGGCCATCCCAAGGAGACGGCGTTCTTGTTGGACTAAACCTAAAGAAAATCAAAATTCAGTGTTAATATTTATTTTTAATTGTTACGTGTTATACTTGTTAATAACAAATTACCTACAACAATAGCGTATTGAAGAAATATACATTCAAGGAAAAACAAAATTCAATTTGCTTGCAAACAAGATAAAACCTCGACTTCTAAAACAGTGAAGTAAAAGTTACAAACAAGTTTGATATCAACACAATGACGGGGCTTATATTCACGATACTATACTGGCTTAAAGTTTTTCTAGTTCGTTTAACGTAAGAAGTTTATTGTACTCAGAGTACAATATTCTTCTCACGTTAAACGTTCTAAGCCTGATTTATTGTTACGTCTACACTATCACAGAACAGTATATTATTATAAATTACATTTAAAATCTTTATTCCCTTAGATTAATGTTATGAGCTATGGGTATTATAACGCTAAACTAAATTGGCAGATACAGTAAAGTAATCTTCAAAGGATTTAGTGGTTAATTTTCACAATAAGCAATCAAACAATAGGTTTAATTTGATATAAGTTAGTAATTTTCTAAATATCTTACCTGTTGGATCCAACGGGCGGTGTAGCATAAGGGACACCGAGAAACACTTCAAGGGGACTTAAATATCTATGTTCATCCATTGCCAACACAATGCCCTGTAATTTTCCATATTTAGTCTGAATTATCTTACTACTTATTTTAAATTTCACTCTTGATCTTGGAACTGGATTTGAAGGATTCAAATAATATCGCTTATAGTCTTCATAGTTACTGTAAGCGTTATTTTCCGTACTATATTTATTGGACACAAAACCATCGGTACTGTAATAAGGATTTTTTTCAAGATTGAACTTTCCGAAAACATTTTTATCAACAGTTCGTGTATCGTCATGTATTTTAAAATCTTCTTTATGTGAATTGCTTTGTTGTGAATTAAAATTTAAATTAATATTAAAATTCCTATCTCCATGTCTATTCATATTTGTTGTGTTGGAATTAACTGCCTGTAGATATAAACAAATGGTTAAGAAGAATGCGTAAAAATTTAAACAATTTATGCTTTGTGCGGGATTTAATCGTCTTCCATGTTTGTCATAACAAAACATGCTCGAATTGATTTTAGTCCGTGCTTTATGGAAATATCCGGGTGCAAACATATTTCGTCATGTTATCATTTTAGTTTTATTTGAGCACTTTTCTTTCCTATGTTCTCTGCTATTACCTGAAACAACGAAATTGAAAAATTATGAAAAAATTAAAAATACAATGCAATGTAATAAATAATAAAAAAATTATTTGGCGCTACATTGTATTTGAAACTATTGAATAGGTAATCTTTTTAATTAAGCTTGGTGTCAAACAAAGTTTGAGCTCGTAGATCGATTGTTTTTTTTTGTGGTATCCAATATTGGCACTATAATTTTTATTCTATTTACCACTTCTTTTTTTGGTTAGAAGGATTAAATTTTATCAACCCATGAGCAGCAGTGCGAAAATTTCAGGTGGTCGCTTCTGTCCTATTTTTTTTATAGGATAGGGTGACAAACGAGCACACAGTCCACCTGATGGTAAGTGATTGCTGTGGCCCATAGACATCTACATCTATCATCGATTAGAAATCAAAATGCAGATGCGTTGTCACCCATGAGGACTAAGTAGGAATGCCTCTTTTCCAGTAAGAAGAGTCTCCGGTTCTCTACACTCACCATACGAAATACAGCAGCATTAAGCTGCTATTTTACGCTGGTATTCTGTGAGAGCGTGGTCCTTCCCCGGTCGAGCGGACCTATTCGTGCTACAACTATACTACTAATATAGCTTCAGCATCGCTCTACCACGTTAAAAAACAAATACATTTGGAATTTTTTTACGTTTACTCTACCATTATAATAACATTAATTTATTTTTAGTGCATGGAAAACAGAAACTGTAAAGCATCTGCTAGGATTGAAAATAAAATTCTATTTCATAACACCCATGACAGTGTAAATAGTGATAAACCTAATGCACTTTAAGTAATGTCACAACAATTTAGATGAAATCAATATTAGCGCCAATTCACGCGAACTACGCACATTGCAATAAAACCTTATATTGAACGGACATAAAAATATTCAACATAACTAGTTCCATTCAGTGGGTTTGCTACAATAGAGAGCATAATTTTTACAGTAATGTAATTTTATTGTCGCAATTTTATAAAATATTTGAGGTTAGAATATTTAAGTCAAGCTATGTTAATATTATGCAAGCTATTATGGGTGCATAATATTAATTATAAGGAGTACGCCCTCACAGAATAGCAGCGTATCAGCTTAATGTAGCAGACCCTACTTACTGAAAATGAGGCATTTCATTTCAGTCATCGAGGGTGACCATCTGTCGTCATCGTCGTCAGCGTCGCATCGATTTTTGATTCAAGATAGATGTAGGGTCTTATGGGCCCCAGCATCCACTTACCATTAGGTGTACTATGTGCTTATTTGTCACCATTATTCTATAAAAAATACTGCGGTTGCCAACCCGCTTGCCAAGCGTGGGAACTATGGCAAATATTATTCAATATATAGGGGAGGCTATGTTCTGCAGTGGACTTTAACAGGCTGTAACGGTAACGGTAAATAAAGAAATGGGTGGTATGGGCGTGTCTCTTATATTTTAAATCATAATATGGTAAAAAGACTAAAATATATATAATAAATATATAATAAACTAAAATAGAATAATTACACATTTGAAAATAGGATACGGGCTTATATCACTTGTTGCAACTGCTGGCCTGTTAAATAATAATAATAATAATAACAATAATAAGTCTTACAGTCAACTTGATGATAATTACTGCAGTTTACAGACGCCTGGTACAATCTTCAAAGTAAATAGACTGTTGGTACGTTATTGCCAATAAGGACTAAGATATGATATTCTGTAGTAGCTGTTATAATGGTTATGCTCTGCACTCATAACGTAATCACAGGATAGGGGTTGGTACATACAGGCTTTTAGGTAGCCCTGTGTAGCCTTTTTACCTAATAACCTACTAGTTTTTATTTATAATATAAAAAATAAAAACCGCCCTTTTCCAGTCTGCTTGACTTTACTACTTTCTCAGATTCTCGCAAAGTGGATAGTTAGGTTCAAGCTTATAAATGTTGCTGCTTTATGTCAATATTAATGTCATAGATTAGAACGTTTTATTTGTAGCTACATATCGTCGTTATTGATCAGGTAAAGTATATACGATAGTAATAAAATTTAACGAGCAATGTTATTTTCTTCAAGCTAAGAGATAGTCGCGTACTTAAAATGGTCCATAAAAATAGAATGAAGATGATGACGCTCTTCCTTTTTATCGGCCTAAAAACATGTTGTATTTCAAATGCGCATGTGAAATAAAACATGTTTTTAGATAGATGTAAGAAAGTAAAATTACAGCCTGCAACCGCCATTTTGTATTGAATACGAGGGGATATACGTCCCACCACTGGGCGCAGTCCTTCTCTCATTTCTAAAAGTGTAACCGTGTGTTGCGCTTTGGCAGACATCACATGTTCTCGATATATTTTATTCCTCTGCCATGCAGGTCTCCACGCGATGTTTTACTTCGCCGCCTAGCACATGGTAATGCAGTATTTAAAATTACAATTAATAATTTCGTTATTCTTACCAACACTTATACAATATAAAATTTCACCTCTATATATTGGATTTTTTTTTATAGGATAAGGGTCACAAACGAGCATACAGTACACCTGATGGTAAGTGGTTGCTGTGGCCCATAGACATGTATATCTATCCTCAAATATGAATCAAAATGCAGATGCGTTGTCACCCGTGAGGACTAAGTTGGAATGCCTCGTATCCAGAAAATAGGGTTTCCGGTTCTCGGTTCTCTTCGAAACACAGCAGCGTTAAGCTGCTTTTTCACGCTGGTATTCTGTGAGAGCGTGGTCCTTCCCCGACCGAGCCGACCCATTTGTGCTACAACTATACATGTAATATAGCTTTAGCATGGCTCTACCATGTAAACTAAAATTATATAATTTTGGATATCTTCAATCGTGTATACATGACGATTTCATTATAAAAAATGTTTAATCATAACCATGATTCGAAGTGCCACATGAGAAGATTAAAAATAATATAAAGGTGGAACTATTGATTGATTTATTCGTTAAATAAGTGTTCTTATTGTAAAACTATATCGTTGCTCACACTATAATTACCCAGCGCATTAGATTTTAATGTCAAAATATTTTTTTCATATTCATGCTTAAATGGATTTAAGATGAATATAGCTTTTTAATTTTAATACATGTATTAACAAATGAGCTTATTAGAGAGTTATACAACAAAAAATATCACACTGCAGGTGTCATAAGATATAATAAAGACTGCAGTTACTAGCTCACTTACAAGCGCGGCAACTATGGCAAATATCTAAGTAATAAAGCAGTGTACTAGAAAATCCGTACTTAGAAGTATAATTTGATATACTTTTCATACTTATAATAAAGAACTAAAATGTTCTGAAGATTTCTCCATAATTGCTAAGGTAATACCGCATTGTTGTTAAAATTGTACACAACTAAGATTATTTTTCTCGTAGAATAAAGCGAAGGTAACCAATTGTTCCAAAAACTTGTTGTTCTCTTTGTTTGAATTTGAGTTATTAGAGTAATAAATGTTATAAGCGTTGTTTCTAAGTTACAACATAAAATCTAATTTGCTTGTAGCATAGCATGTAGCTATGCCATTGTTCCATATTCGGTTTTTCAAAAAAATGTTTATCTAGATTTAATATATTATTTTAAAGTAACCTTTTAAGGTAAATATTTAATGAACAATTCGTCTAGCTCAGTAATAAAATCGAATAGGAAAATATTAGCATCATTTCAAAATATAAATATTAATGTTTGTATCATTATAATACGAAGGGCCATACTCAAACGCTTGCCCGATTATTCATTCAGTCAGTTACGAGTACAATAAGTCGTTTTAGTTTTAATTTCTCTAAGTAATAATTTATTTTGTTAAACATTTGGAAAACTTTCTTATTGATTTATCTCATACTTATGTATTTCTGTTTCGGTTTCGCTTAAACATGTCATTTGTATGGGTCACCTACTAGCTATTTGCGCAGGACAGGATAAGTGTTAGTGCCCAAGTGTATTCGTAAACACAGGTGCAACGCATTTGCCTCTCGATTCTTAGTCGATGATAGATTTATATAGTTACGGGCCACAGTATTCACTTACCATTAGCTTCACTGTGTACTCATTTGTACCCTTATTCTATAAAAAAGGGTTAATATTACCAGAATTAGGGCTAATTTCTTATATTAAATTCCAAAAACGTGGAAAAATATACTTAAACTTTTGGTTGTTTAGGAATCATTTATGCTATAATAGCAATCGGATTATAAAGATTTATTGTTTGAGCATATCATTCTCAAAAATTCCTTCGTTTAATTTTTTTCCTACAAGCTTTTAAAGGTTTGTTTTATTAAGACGTAGAGGATTAAAATACTCAAAATATTGAAGAACATGGTTTGGATATAAGCCAACCTCATTATAAATTCTGAACGCCTGTGTAATATTGATTATTCCTCATAAGCAATACTTGAATTATTCATAACTTTGATACCGGAAGATCGAGAATGCTTAAAATTAACGAAGATGGAAGATTATTGTATATTAAAATACAAGATAAATATTATTTTTATGAAATAGGAAATGAGTGGCAGCTTCTTCCTGTTAACAACCCAAAATGATAAAAAAACTGCAGTTGCAAACCCGTCACCTCCCGTGATCTATCTCACCAATCAGAGTAAATATCCTACTGCTACTATCACTATATAATATTCTTTTTTTATAGGAATTAAATTCTACTACCTACAATTGATTTTCGTAGTTACAACGAATCTATTTAAATTAAATAAAGTTGATTGTGTGAGAAATTATCATTGATTAAATTTAGAAACAAAATGTAGATGCTTTGTCACCATGAGAATTAAGGAGGAATGCCTTGTTACCAGTTAAAAAGGTTTCCGGTTCCCGTCACTCACAATCATATTATGATTATATATTATAAATATATGAGAAAC